TCCATTTTGCTTCATTTCTGCAGAATACTGAATACCTCTCTAGAGAACTGAGATCAAAAAGCCTCAAGCATGCAGGAGAGCTCTGGTAGCATAACAACTAACTGCACATCAGCTGAGCCACTGTAAGCATTGGTTTCTGAGTACTGTTAACACATCACAGTAAATAAGGTCAATAAACTTAGCTTAAACTATGTGAAAAAGGCAACATATTTCAACTAGAAACAAGAGTAGACAACCGAAGTGCTCTGTTGCAGTTGCTCAGCTGATAGGTGGCTTCCAGAGTAAGCCATTAGAATTTGACCGTATTTCATTCCTAAACCTATCAGCCATTTTTTTGAATGGCAAATAAGACAGGAAAGGTTAAAAGATCTAATATACAGCCATGCTGCAAAACACCAGAGTGGTGTAAGCCGTCTATGCCCTCACACTCATGCCAGGCCACTTGCTGATTCTTTGTAAATTTTCACCCGTAGAGTGAAGCCAATTGAACTAAATATAAGTATGTATCTCATACACTTCTGTGCAAAAGTCAGACATCCTTCCTTAAATAACTAATGAAAGTGGGTTTTACTCCTCTGGCTGATTTTCCACTGATGCTTATTAAATAATGTTCATATTTTCTACCCTGCTGACTAAGCTGGGGGGCAATAAACCTCCTGGTGACTGGTGGTGATAAGCAGCTGGAGTGTGTACCATTCTCAACTGCTCCTCATAGAGTCATTAAGGAATATCTGCCTATGCTGCTGCTTCTGGAAGAGGAACACATTTGCTCCCCTTTGGCATTTCTTTCCCCTGAAGGAAGAAAGGGCTCTTAATTGTGTTTTACCAGCAATTAACTTTTCCCTGCATCAGCAGCACTCTCTTTCTCTAAGACTCACAGTATCCAATATAGATACATCAAATTCTTGCCAGACGGCTTGATTTTTTGACTAACAATCTACTTGACCAGAAATACTGCAATTTAAAATGTGCTGCTTACAACAAGGCTCCCAAATTCCCAATCTAGAGTCAGATGAACCCCTAGGGAAACTGAGTTTGAGGGTAACTATCTACTGTCATTAAAAATGTTTGTATCCAAGAATTTGTCTCGAAGAAGGAAACAGAACTGTTCTGTGGCTTAGATGGCTCTCCGATCACCAGGTAATGTCACCATCCTAGTTATTTGTACTAGGCTTGGTTCCAGAACTGCAGTCCAGAACAGCAGGTTCAGCTTGAGCCCCACTGGCAGAGGTCTGAAAAGAAGCCTGAATAACGTGGATATCTGCAGTGTATCTAGCTCTTGCCAGCCCTACCCTAACTGCCTTTTCAATGAAAGCTGATCCACCCTCCTCAGCACTCCTCATCAAGAGTTCACTTGCATTTCTCATCCTATCTCAGGTAAAAAGGACAGTCCTGACAATCCATTAGCGCATGAAAATCCTGCAAGAGCCAATGGATGTTAGAAATCCATAGCTTGAGGCAGCAGGGAGTGACACCCAAAGTGTCTTGTAAAAGTCACCATGCATTTTAAACTCATGTTATTGCTAAACAGATCAGAAATACAAGAACTGGCAAGCACAAAACAAGCACGGGTCCATGGAGAAGTCTAGACTTAATTACTGGTACAAAGTCATGCATTCTACTACAATCATAAGAATACACTAACTTCAAGCCCCTATTAATTTGAATGAAGAAAGGTACCTACCAACTAAGTATGTGAGTCATAAATGTGAATGACAACTACAGGTGGACATTCCCGCTTGCAAGCGGAATGCAATTTTAATTTCTGTAAGTTCATAAGTCAAAGCATAGCCCATCTGGAAATAGCTACAATGTTATCTGATTTTAAGGTCAAAATTCAGAAGGCCTAGATGGCTCTCATCCAAACTCACTGAACTTACCAGGGCTTTTAAACTTTTTACCTGCATCCATGGGAACAAAAAATTTCAGTTTGCACTTTTTAATGTACCCTTTTTTTAATATGTACATTTTTCAAACAAAACCTGGTTGTGCCACATATGCATGAGCTGAGGCTTTAAAAGCAAAACCTAAACTGTACAATTAATATTAAAACCCTGCCATATTTTCATTAGTGTACTTCAAATGTGGGCAGACAGATGTCTAATGGCAAACAAGGACCTGCAGCCACTTCTGACTTGAAATGTAAAGGCCACCTGAGTTTTGTGGAAAGAAGTCTTTGACTGACTGAGCTTACAAATATATACTCACTGGTTTTGCTCATTGTGATAACTCGACGTGGAAAAACAATGTAAGTTCTACATGTGGAAAAAGTCAGTCTTTGTGGGAAGGACAAGGCATCTAAAAATACTGATAAATGGGCTACAAAAAGCAGTAGTTTGCTGCCCAAAGCAAATGAAATGCTTCTAAAGGTTTGTGTGTTTGCTGCTACAGCTGAAAAGGTGCAGAACAGAAAAATACACAGCTGAAGGTATGAAAACCTGGTTCTGCTGTTGATACCCTTGCACACCCCTCCTTTGCCTTTGAGAGTAGGAGGCCACTACTGACTATGTAACAAAGAAACAGAATATAAGTCAAACTCTGTATCCTACACCTAATTTAAACATTTTGTATTCATTTCACCTGGCACAATGGGGAGTGGATGAGTAATTAGATCATTATCTCCCCATCAATGAAAATCTAACATCACTGGGACAGGAAGTTGCAGCTGTGTAACAACAGACAGCAGTATTACATAACTAGGGTAGAAAAGGGAAAGTGCTTCAGGCAATTTTAAGTTAGGAGGGATTGTATTATAATTATCCCAACTGCAGTATAGCCAAGAAAACAGTGATTCAAAAGAGCGCTCTCAAAGTTCCTAGGCTGAAAATGATTATAAGAAATTTTCCATATAGCTATTTTTCAGCTAAGCTGGTCTCAGATTTTGCTTCTCAGATGTTTGCTGTTAGTACAGCATTAGTCTACCCAGAATTTAGAAGGGAAAGCTTATGATTAAAATTCCAATTCTGCCATGAGTTCTCTATAAGTGTAGTGTTATTGCAGAGAAAATTGGTTAAGGCCACATTCCAAAACAGAATGATTTGCTTTTCAGAAATACTCTTCTGAGCTTCAGGTATAAATCTTCTTTATTTCAGATGACTGAAAAGTACCTAGAAGGGAAATTCTATTAAAAGTAAAGAAATCCCTGCACCCACAGTTTAACAGTAGAATTTTAGCAAAAGCACCTGAAAAAAACCACTGCAATAAGATTTTGCCATAATTCTTTGCACTGGGGTGATTCCCCCCACCTTTTGCTGCTAAAATAGCAGAACTTTCTTCACCAACCCAAAGACAAAATTTATAAAGTAATACAAGAGTTTTCAGAAAGGAATGAGATTTTGTTTCCTCAAAATTTAGTTGAGATTAGAGAGACTTTAAAAAGAATCACTTTATATTAAAAAAGGCACAGAAGTATCTATAGAAAATTAGTCTAGCTTGAGAGTTGAAAATTTTGAACAACTGTTTCTTTGCACAGATCTCATCAATATGGTCTAAATCTGCTGTTGAGAAACAGATCACCCAGGAAGAAGGAGCTGGTGATTTCTCAACTCTTGCTACTGTGAAGTATAGAGACCCAGCTATTGCTTTTCTATTAGAAAAGGTAATACTGTGATTTGAGTGATACTTATGGACAAATTTTACTTAGTATGCAAAACTGATCAAAGATAGCAAGCAACTACCAGACAGAAAACAAGGGAACAACTCAGAACATCTTAATCTACTTTACAGTCATCTTTCACGTACATTTCACAGTGGTTGAGGAATCAGGAATGTTATCAATAAACAGAAAGTGCTTCTCTCTAAGAATTTTTAGACTTCATTGCTCAAACACATCTGTGTTCAAAACAATTTTTAAAAAGTTGATGTTTATTTTGATATTTTTCTTTCAATTACTACAGAATAGAAACATACCTGCAAGAGTAATGTGTGCATTCGTGGGCAAAAAGTAAGGATCAGATTGTGTAAAAATACTATTACACAAACATACAATCAAAGCACTGGTAAAGTATTGGTATAGTACAGTAAGTATAATAGAGCAAGTATATGTGTAAATATAGGTAGCACTTGTGTATGTAGTCATACAGGATATACATTACCACATACAGTCATCATTAGATGAGAATAATGGCACTGTAACTAGTAAGCCATTCTAACTTGAACTTCTTAATGATTTCCTATTGTTTGACCTGTATTTCTAGGCAGTGTTTTTTCATTGTCAGTGTTTTTTCATCACTAAAATGTCTTTACCAACTGCAGTGAGGTTACAGAACATGTAAAAGCTGGATTAGTAAACAAGGGTAGGAAGTAAGTTTTTCTCATTGACAAAGATACAGCAATAAAAACAGCTTAAAAGATAACTGCCACCTCCTACAGATTTTCTCTTATTTCTTAACACGGTGTGGAAAACGTTCAAAATATTTTGTAGTGTAGCTCTGTATTAACTAAAAGTTTTGCTACAATATACTACATAATGTAGTCCTGCCTCTTTGCCAACTCCCGTCGTTCACGAATGTCATTTAAAGGAACATCTCGGTAACAATTAAGTACAAGACAACAAGTAATATTGTACTTCAGTACCATAGTTCGTCTGTAGCTTTGGAACAACGTTACTCGAGAACCTATAAAACGCAAATGAATTCCCGTCTTCGTAATTGCAGAAAAAAAGCGGATACCGCCAATCCCTCCGAGCAGCACACAGACAAACCCTGTGTTTTCGCCGAGCCTGAGCTCTTCTCGCTGTTGTTGCACGCTAATTAGAGCGGTTAAGTGCGAGACCGGCGATCGTCAGCCACAACGGCACCCCTTGAAGGTTGGTCTGTAGCACCCGCGGGGAAACTATTCGAAAGGAAGTTTATGCACAAGGATGTTTTCAGCAACCGCTCTGTAAGAAAGGACCGGTTTCCCTGCCCTCCTCTCGGCCAGGGGCCATCAGAGGAGGCAGCCCCGCGCCCCCGGCCAGGGCAGCCTCACCTCCCTGGGAGGGCTGCAGCGGGGAGCCTTACCTTAGTGAGCTGGGCAATCTTCTTGCACATTTTCATGTGCATATCCTGATTGCATCCCTCTGCCGAGCTGCTGCGAGCGGCTTTAGATCCACTGCAAGTCCCGGGCTGATGAATCTTGTTTATGCCAGAGGCCATTAGGCTTGAAATATTTTAATCAAGCCTGCGGACGCCGAGGGTAGCGCGGCCCCGTCCCTGCTGCGGG